ACGGTCCTGCTCCATCACTGTCTCACTGCAGGTGTGGGGCCTCCTCCCACGCTCCTGCTCCATCACTGTCTCACAGCAGGTGTGGTTACCACCTGTTGCCTGTGCAGTGACATCAGCAGCCCCTGAGTGGCACAGAAAGCACCTGCAGAAAACATCAGCCTTGACCTGATGTTCCCGCTTCCTCTCCTGTTACTCCTCCCATCTCCTCATCCAGCCACAGTAAATGACTTGTAATTATTTTTGCTTAGAATATTTTCTTTGCCTAGTTTAAGAAATAGGAAAAATCTAAAATTTTCCTACTCTCACATTCAGTAGAACACTTCACCTCTAGTCACCAAAATGTGCATGGGTTGTTTTCCCACCACACATGAAGCGTTCTTCAGCAGACCCTAACTGGGTGTCCTGTAATTCAACTGGTTTCTTACACTTTCTATCTGGAGATAGCATCAGATCCCACGGGTAAGGGCTCAGTCCCACAAGACTGTCCCCCACTTCAGGTACCATTCACAAATGTAGATTGTCACCTGTACTTCTGACCAATTGGCTCTAAAGGGGCTTCCCACAGCCCCATCTTGGGTTTGATTTACTAGAGGGTTCACAGAACTCAGGGAAACACTTTCCTCACATTAACTGGATGATTATAGAGGTTATTACAAATGGTACAGTTGAAGAGATGCATGGGAGAGGGGGGAGGAAGGGGTGTGGGCTTCCTGTGCCGCCTCCAGACGTGCCACACTCCAGAGGTTGCCCTCCTGGAAGCTCTTCTAACCATGTCCTTTTGGGTTTTGATGGAGGCTCTGCTAAGTAGCCATGATCGATTAAATTATTAGTCATTGGGGATCAACTCAACCTTCAGCACCTCTTTACTTCCCAGAGGTGGTATGGGGGGGGCTGAAAGTTCCACCCCTCTAGTCACATGGTTGATTCCCCTGCAACCAGCCCTCATCCTGAGGCTGTCCTGGAGCCCACCAAGGGTCACCTCATTAGAACAAAGGTGCTCCTATCACCCAATAAATTCCAAGGGATTTAGTACTGCTGTGTGGGGAATCAGGGATGAGAGACCAAATATTAGAACAAGGTATTCTCCTAGCACTTCTACCTGCAAGGGGTTTAGGGGTTCTATACAGCTAGTGCTCGACTTACGACCACGGTCGGGACCGCGGACCGGTCGCTGCAAGGGGTTTAGGAGTTCTATACAGCTAGTGCTCGACTTACGACCATGGTCGGGACCGCGGACCGGTCGTAACATGATTTGGTCGTAAGTTGAGTAGGCTATATGTACCAGTTGAAATGGTGCACGCGGAGATGGTAGTGCTGCAGGAAGCTGGTCTGCACTGTCGTACGCCCAGCTGGGCAACGTTTGCGCTGCCAGATGCAGAACAGTCGTGGCTAGCGATTGTGGTCATAAAGTCGAATTGTCGTAAGTTGCATAGGTGGTAAGTCGATCAATACCTGTATTAGGTTCTAGGGACAGAGACCAAATATATATATTCCTTATTATTTCACACCTGGCCAACCCCAGCTCACGTATGCCCTGTTTCTGATTTTTTTTTTTTTTTTTTTTTTTGAGATGGAGTCTCACTCTGTCTCCCAGGCTTGAGTGCAGTGGTGAGATCTCGGCCCACTGTAACCACCACCTGCTGGGTTCAAGTAATTCTTCTGCCTCAGCCTCCCGAGTAGCTGGGACTACAGGCGCACACCACCATGCCTGGCTAATTTTTTTGTAATTTTAGTAGAGACAGGGTTTCACCATTCTGGTCAGGCTGGTCTTGAACTCCTGACCTCGTGATCCACCCACCTCAGCTTCCCAAAGTGCTTGGATTACAGGCATGAACCACCGTGCCTGGCCTACGGCCTAAATCTTCCATGCCCCCTTCCAAGTAGCAGCAGACTCTCCTCTGCTGGCACTTTTCTCCCTCCTGGCTGGCAGTCACACCTCCCCAAACCAGCCCCTCCTCCAGCCATGACCCTCCTAAGGACAGCAGCATGAGCCTCCCAAGGACTAGCATTTCTGCTAGACCTGGAGGAAGTGCTTGATAAATAGGTTCTTCTGAAAGAACAGTCAACACATGTGCAGGAGATTAAATGTGGCACAGTAACTAATAAAATCAGAACTCACAACTGTCAGGGCTTATAACTGGTATATGACTGAGTAGTGAAACTTTATTATTATTACATAAGTATAATTCTATAGGTGATTCTGGGACTGATATATGTTTAGCTCTATGGTGTTACTCAGGCGTTCAGGATGCCAGGATGAGGAGGACTTTACTAGCATACTGTCAGACCAAATTTGAGAAATATCAGTAAACTTAGAGAAATCTAATATTAGAGAAGGAAGAATGTTTTCATTTTGGAATATTTTTTACAGGAGTCATTTTATCACTAGATGTTACGAGGGCCGGGTGTGGTGACTCACAGCTGTAATCCCAGCACTTTGGGAGGCCCAGGGAGGCGGATCACCTGAGGTCAGGAGTTCAAGACCAGCCTGACCAACCCGGAGAAACTCCGTCTTGACTAAAAACTTGATGTTTCAAAAATTTTTCTTTCCAAATCAAATTTGGAGTATATTATGTTGTAAGATAATCCTGTTTCCAAGTATCATTCTCATTTAATATAGTTAAAATATGGTTTAATTTATGAAAATTGCACTTTCACATAATTTTGGTCATTTGTTATATAAAAATGGTACTTCTGTATTAGAAATATTTTATTAATTTTAATCCTAAATTACAGTATTAGTTCATGCATACTAGGATTTCAGAAGTATAGAAATACATAGAGGGAAACATAAGGGCCAATTTTCCTCATTACTAGTTTTGTACATATTTTTGCAAACTTCTATGTGTTTATAAGCATGTGTAACTTATATTAGAACATGTTTGTATATACACATGCATATGCATATGATGTTTTCAAGAATATGTGGCCTCTTAATTTTCATTGGTTGGAAAATCTGACTATATCTTGTTTTTTTTGTGTTTTGTTTTTGAGACGGAGTCTCACTCTGTTCCCCAGGCTGGTGTGCAATGGTGCAATCTTGGCTCACTGCAACCTCTACCTACCAGGTTCAAGCAATTCTCCTGCCGCAGCCTCCAGAGTAGCTGGGACTACAGGCGCCTGCAACTGTCCCAGCTAATTTTTCATATTTTCAGTAGAGACAGGATTTTGCTATGTTGGCCTGGCTGGTCTCAAACTTCTGGCCTCAAGAAATCTGCCCATCTCAGCCTCCCAAAGTGCAGAGATAATAGGCATAAGTCACTGTGCCTGGCTTGTAGTAATTTTTTATCATTTATGAAGACCTTACTAGAAAGTAGAAGTTCATCTGATGGTATTAACGAATATGGATTTGTTGCCGTGTATTTATTGGAAAACATAGGGACTAATACTTATTGCCCCAGTTGGCAAATTCAATAACTGATCCTGTATGAGTAGGAATTCTCTGATGCTGAGAAGATGAGAGGGGGACCTCTCAAATGGCCTGATGTTGGTAAGAGATGGGCTTGGAGGCAGGAAGTGAGGGCTCTGCCCTGATGCCCTTGAGGAGCGTTTATAGAGTGGTGTGACCACGCTGATCTGTGGCAACTGAAAGTCCAGGCGCTGCGGGTTGAAAGAGGGAGTGATTGGATTGGGGTGGTGTCCTGGATGAGAGGTTATCTAGAGCGGAGCTGAGCTGATTGTCAAGGAAGAATTGGCAGAGGAGGAGGAAGGAGGAAAAAGAGGTAAATAAGAATACAGTTCTGTGTAAGGAGCCATAATGGTTTTGGTAGAATTTAACAGCGGCATAGTAAAAGTGAGATTTGTATGTTGTAAACTGGAGAAAATGTGACTTGAGGTAGTAGATCTTTGAAGATCAAGCTGGAGAAGTTGAACTGTTTGTTAAGCAAGTAGAAGTTCATGGCCTTGACTAAGGTAAATGGAAATGAAATTTCTGTGTTCTAGAGTAATTGTTCTGGTAGCTAAGTTTGGTATTGTTGGGAAGCCAGGCAAGGGGACGCCTGCAAGGGAAGCAGGTATAGACAGTCACGGCATCACAAGAAAGGGCAGGTGTATCTGTGCTCAGTGAGGTGCACCTGGGCTCTGGGGTTTACTCGGAAGTTAGAGGGAAGGAACACATCTAGGACACAGCCCTGGCTTTCTCCACATAGAAGGTGCTCCAGGTTTGCCTTCTGTCCTTTCTGTTTCCGTCACTGGTGGTTGGATTCAGAGGGAAGGCACAGCAAAGGAGGTGACCCCACAGTGACTTGCTACTTGGGCAGGACCACAGTTTAACACCTGCCTTAGTGTTCAGCAGACCCTTGGGTTGAGCCAGGCTTAGAGTTCCTGATCCGACTTAGAGTATTGAACTTCTTTACTGCACTGTGAAGAAATGGCAGAATTCAACTGCATGCTTGGTTTTGTGACCCAGTTTGGCTAGTCTAACAAGCCCTCCGGTTGTCTTCACCCTATCCCCACATTTCTTCCTGCTCCTTGGGGAAAGCAGCCTCCTCCTTGTACCCCAGGCCCCCCTGCTCAGAATAGGCCTCGACAGTGGCAGAGGCAACTCCCTTGGATTGGAGCAAATGCCTCTGGCAGCAACTTTTCTCGATCTCCGGCTTCTTGAATATTGTCTTTCCCAACTTTTAAGCCTTTTTCTTAATTCTGGAAAGTTGCTATTCCTTTGTTTTTTCCAGAATGGAGTCAAGCTGACTTAATTTAGGAACAGATTCACTGTAGACCACCTCGTGATTCAAGCAGATTAAATGCTTCCTTACAAAGAGCATCAGAGTCAGGCCTGCCTAGGCTTCTGGTCCAGAGGAGACAGAAGCTCCAGCCTCTCCCTGCAGAGGGCTCAAGGCCAGTGGCCGCAGGGCACTGGCTGGCTGTAGCCAGGATGTATGTCTTGATGGTGGCCTCTGGGGGACCCAGAATTAGCTGCTGGGCCCCATTTTCTCATATACAAACATGAGAGAGGCTGGATATGAAAGAAACCATCTTAGAAGAGAACACCCACCCCCATGATAACATTCTCTGCCCAGCTCCTGCAGAGGCTGGTCTGGCTTCCGCAGGGCTGTCTGTCATTGGCTCAAGTACTTTGTGCTTAGGAAAGCAACTCATGGCAGTTCCACACGTCAGAACATTTCTCTAATCACATCTGTCACCTGTTCACAGTCATCATGACCGTTGAAGCCTAAACCAAAAACGTGGTTACCTGAGCATTCATGTGGACTATGTGCTCTTCCTTCTTTGAAAGCTCCTCATTTGTGATGAAAACTTTGGCCTTCTTCTACAAGGATGTTTTATTTCTGCCCCAATGACAGAGAAAATATTTTGTTTCCCTTTTTTCCAGACATGGGGCTTCACTTTGTCACTGAGGCTGGAGAGCAGTGGTTCAGTCATGGCACACAGCCGCCTGGAACTGCCAGGCTGAAGTGATCCTCCCGCCTTAGCCTCCTGAGTAGCTGTGACTGGGACTGCAGGCATGCACCACCATGTCTGGCTAATTTAAAAAAATTTTTTAGAGACAGAATCTCACTAGGCTTGTCTTGACCATCTTATCTTGGACATCTTGTGCCTAGGTTTGTCTTGAACATCTTGTCTCAAGCGATCCTCCTGCCTCAGCCTTCCATTGTGTTGGGATTACAAGTGTGAAGCACTGTGCCTGGTCCACAGTTTTTCTAAATAGGTTTCTTTTTTTCTTTTTTTGAGACAGAGTCTCGCTCTGTCACCCAGGCTGGAGTGCAATGGCACAGTCTTGGCTCACTGCAACCTCCACTTCCCAAGTTCAAGCAATTCTCCTGCCTCAGCCTCCCTAGTAGCTGGGATTACAGGCTTACGGCACCATGCCTGGCTAATTTTTATATTTTAGTAGAGATGGAGTTTTACCATGTTGTCCAGGCTGGTCTTAAACTCCTGACCTCGTGATCCACCCGCCTTGGTCTCCCAAAGTGCTGGAATTACAGGCTTTGGGAGACCAGGAATGAGCCACCACTCCTGGCCACTCTTTGCATCTTTTTGTTTGTTTGTTTGAAATAGACTTTCCTTCTGTCACCCAGGCTGGAGTGCAGTGGCATGATCTCCACTCATTACAACCTCTGCCTCCCAGGTTCAAGCAACTCTCCTGCCTCAGCTTCCCGAGTAACTGGGATTACAGGTATCTGCCACCACACCTGGCTAAGTTTGGCATTTTTAGCAGAGACAGGATTTTACCATGTTGGCCAGGCTGGTCTTGAACTCCTGGCCTTAAGTAATCCATCTGCCTCAGCCTCACAAAGTGTTGGAATTACAGGTGTGAGCCATCGCCTGGCTCTAAATAGGTTTCTTCCTCTATATGAACCCTTTTCCAGTATCCAGGCCCTCCCTGGAGAACTGTAATGGGGATGCCCATCTGGGTGAAGATGGGAGATGGTGTGGAGAGGAGTCAACTAAGGAAAAGTGTGTCTTGGCTAGTTTGGGCCAAAAGAGAAAAGCAAAAGGGAAGAGTGAATTTTATTTTATATGTTTTACTTTATTTTACGGAATCTCGTTAATGTTGTCCAGACTAGGGTGCAGTGCTAATCAACAAGCATGATTGTTCCACATTGCAGACAAGCTCCTGGGCTCACGTGATCCTCTTGAGTAGCTGGGACTTGCAGGTGTGCGCCACTGCACTGGCCTGGGAAGGGCAGAACTCTGAGCCTAGATTTCCGGAACACAATGAAAATACTACTGACAGATTAGAAACATGGTTTTTTAAAAAGGAAGAGGTCAATTTTTTATGATGTTTTGGATTCCAGTGACTTTCCTCTGGACAGTGGGGTGCAGAGAAGGCTCTGATGGCATTTGTCCACACTCGACTTTTCTGCTCATGGTGTTCTCAGGATATGAAGAGCTGGGGTGCCGTGCATTTCACTTTCCCTCCTTGGAGACCAGTTTCCAAAACTTTAGAGCGGAGTATTTTAAAGAAGCATCATGTAAACATAGGACATAGGATGAGAATATGAAATTGCCTGCTTGATGTTTTATTTACAGTTGTTGGGAGTTAATAAGTCATATGTGTGTCTTTTTCTCCTAGGTTCATTTTCCAGACACTGAAAGAGCAGAATGGCTAAATAAGGTAAGAGTAGAGTATACCAAATACCATCTGTCAGTGGAATTGAGGATGAGATACCATCTTTCCATATTTGGGAATTTGCATGTTGGTAATATTTAAGCTTGTTTGTACTTTAGTGGGTTGGCTTCTGCTCCCAAAGACCTCAATCATAACTAACACGTTTTTTTCCTTTCCAGAGAGTGAGAACTGTGTCTTTGACTTGAGAAAAGTATAGGCATGTTCATATTTGTATCTCTGGCCATGTGTCTTCTTTCCTGAACAGCCAGGGCTCAAATCTGTTTTGTAATAATTGTAAGCTTTGAGAAGCATTACAAAGAAAGAAATAACTTTCAAGAAACCGAGTAATCAATAACAATTTCTTTTTTTTTTTTTTTTTTGAGATAGAATCGTGCTCTGTTGCCCAGGCTGGCGTGTAATGGAGCAATCTCAGCTCACCACAACCTCCGCCTCCCAGGTTCAAGCGATTCTCCTGCCTCACCCTCCCAAGTAGCTGGGATTACAGGCTTGTGCTACCATGCCCAGCTAATTTTGTATTTTTAGTAGAGACGGGGTTTTTCCATGTTGGTTAGGCTGGTCTCCAACACCTCACCTTAGGTGATCTGCCCACCTTGGCCTCCCAAAGTGCTGGGATTAATAGGCGTGAACCACCGTGCCTGGCCAACAATCATTTTTTTGAAGGTTGTGGTTTTAGAGCAGTATGCCTTGAATGAGATCTCTTTTATCTCTGTATTTGATGCATCTTTAGGACCACACAGTGGACTCATGTCAGTGATCACTTATAGTGCTGGAAGTTCTGCTGTCATTAAAAAAAATAGGTGCTCATTAATATTTATACAGTTTAAGAAAGTTTTCAGCAACAAATTTAAACCACAGGATTTTTAGCAATCTTTAAGTGTGCCGACATACTTAAACAGAATATTTAACCAGAATAAGTAGTTTTTGCAACATACTGGTTAATCAGTTGTTGGTTTTTCTAATAACTTTTTAGAATTTAGATCATGTTGATTTTGTATAACAAGAAGATCCTCCTCTCCTTTATTTTATTTTATTTTATTTTTTGAGACGGAGTTTCACTCTTGTTACCCTGGCTGGAGTGCAATGGCGCGATCTCGGCTCACCGCAACCTCCACCTCCTGGGTTCAGGCAATTCTCCTGCCTCAGCCTCCTGAGTAGCTGGGACTACAGGCACATGCCACCATGCCCAGCTAATTTTTTGTAGTTTTAGTAGAGACGGGGTTTCACCATGTTGACCAGGATGGTCTCGATCTCTTGACCTCGTGATCCACCCGCCTCGGCCTCCCAAAGTGCTGGGATTACAGGCTTGAGCCACCGCGCCCGGCTCCTTTATTTTTAAAACCAGATTTTGGTCAGCTATGAGCGTTTCTCACGAGCACTTGTGTGTGTCATGCATTACAGCATTTTGTTTAACCTGAGTTCTTTTTCCTTTCCAGACTGTAAAACACATGTGGCCTTTCATTTGCCAATTTATAGAGAAGTTGTTTCGAGAAACTATAGAGCCAGCCGTGCGGGGAGCAAACACCCACCTTAGCACTTTTAGTTTCACGAAGATCGACATGGGCCAGCAGGTTAGTTTCCTCTTAAGTGTCTTCACGTGTGCACACAGTCAGACTACTGTGAAAACATGAAAAATATTTTCTTTTCTATTCCTTTTTTTTTTTTTTTTGAGACGGAGGCCTCACTGTGTTGCCCAACCTGACCTCAAACTCCTAGGCTCAAGTGATCTTTCCACCTCAGCCTCCCAAGTAGCTGGGTATATCTTTTTTAAACAACTTCATCTGGGCACGGTGGTTCACACCTGTGATCCCATCACTTGGGGAGGCCTGAGCTTAAGAGTTTGAGACCAGCCTGGGCAACAAAGTGGGACCCCAACTCTACAGAAAATTTTAAAAGTTAGCCGGGTGTGGTGGCACATGTGTGCAGTCTGAGCTGCACAAGAGGCTGAGGCAGGAGGATCACTTGAGCCCCAGGAGGTTGAGCCTGCAGTGAGCCATGATCACACCACTGCACTCCAGCCTGAGTGACAGAGGGAGACCCTATATCAGAAAACAGACAGCTTCAAATTATGTTCTGGAGAAAATTGTTCACCGAAAAGGTCTGCGGGGTGTACCTGCAGTTCCCACGCAGGCTCTGCCTCCAGCCAGGGTGCCTTTCCCGTCTCTGTCACTCAGGCTCCGCCTCCAGCCACGGTGCCCTTTCCCATCTCTTGGGAGGCCGTCCTGCTGTCTTCTTGCCTGTCCTGCTATCCTCTTGCTAGTCCTGCTGCCCTCTCGCCCGCAGTGCCCTTCCTGTCTCTCTCACTCAAGCTCCACCTCCCGCCATGGTGTCTTTTTCCCGTCTCTGTCGGGTGGCTGTCCTGCTGCCCTCTCACCTGTGGTGCTGTCTTGGCCATGTCAGCCTCCATACATGGCTTCTCTTTAACCCTAGCTTTCTTTCCATAACGTGTCTTTCTGCTGCACGTTCTTCTGTCAGCATGCCCTTTTCGGAAGCAGTAGTTTTACGTAGTCTTTCCTGTGAGAGAGTTTGATCTGTGAATTCATGCTAAATGTGCAGTAATTGACAAGCTTACAGTGTTTATCCCTTTCGGGATGTTAAAAGAAAAAACGATTAATGACTCTAATGCTGGCATGGTAGGCATAACATTAACTACGCAGGTGGAAGGAAAGACAGATTTTGTTAATGGAGTCACGTTATATAAAAAGGAAAGCTGCTACTTCCTAATAACACTTCTGGAAAAAGCCTCAAGAGTACATTTAGTTGATCATGGTAAGTTTTCCTTTTTTATTTTATGTTTTTAAATAAGTAGCAATAGTCCGAGGTAACGTTGTTTTATATGCCTACAGACTCCAGATGTCATAGTTCTTGTAAGCACACACACAATCCACACACGCTAGTGCACACAGCAGAGTCCACACACAGATGTCGCCGCATGGTGCGCTTCAGGGTTATGATTGATGTGGCTGCGGGAGGAGTCTGGCATGGCTACTGTGTGTTTGTCACCTGTTAGTGGGCGCTGGTGTCCACCCCATGCTCTACAGGCTGCTGGCCACCTTTCTCCATCAGAGCTGACTTTCTGTGTGCAGAGAATGCTCCATCTCAGAGGCAGTTACTCCAGACCCAGCACCTCCTGTGCGGCCTCGTGTGGCACTGCCTGTATGTGCTGCTGCTCTTCCTGTGATGAGCCTGAGGTGTGGCCATCCTGTGCGAGAGCCCATGTCACAGGACACCTGTGGGACACACTTAGTGTTGACCTTAACTTTCAGCACCTAAAATGGTAACCACGGATGGGGAAAAAAAACAATTAGAAGTTAAAGTGCCGTGTGAATGCAAGTAAAAATCCCAGTGACAAGTTAGATGCTGTAAAGCAAGGGCTGTGTGCGGTGTCTGTCCGTGGCCAGGTCCTAATGTTTTAGCTCTAATTCCACCTCATGTCTTTGTGGCGCAACTTCCTGCTATCCCTCCCTTTTACAGCCCTTTAGCCAGGTGAAAACCATCTTAGCTCCGGGGCTGTGGAGTCAGGCCAAAGGCTACATTTAGCCTGCAGACCATAGTCTGTTAATGCTCTAAGTTACAGCATGCTCATGTTTGTGGATATTTAAAATTCCAGCCTCAGCTGGGCTTACTTTAGGAATAATTTAATTGTGTTCGAGTTCCATCACACACACTTTAAGCTTGATACCAACTGAATAAGAAGATCCTTGGAGAGCAGCAAGAGTATTAAGAGAAATGGTGATTCAGTAAAGATAGCTTTGGCATTTTCATCTGCTGTACCAATGTCTTAAAAATGGCAAAACCAGGCCTTCTGATGAAGGGATGGATAGAATGTCATTTAGAGTCCTGTGCAGGGTCCTTGGCCAGACTGTGTGCTGACCAAGACTCCCAGGCAGCTGGATGGTGTTGCCTCCAGATGTTTGTCCTTCATTAGGTAATGCCCAGTCATCTGGAGTGGGTTGGTCCCTGAATCTCTATGTCGTTTAAGGAGTATATTATCTTATGCACATGATGCATGCGCCGTTTTCACTTGTTAGCATAGCGTGTTGGTTGTGTTTCTCAGCGCGGTCTGTACATGGCTTAGCTAGTATAAAGAAGAAGCCTGGAAACTTGGGAGCATAGGAGGTGGCTAGACTCTCAGGTAAAGGCTTAGAGTTTGATTTGACAGCTAGTTGAGAGGGGTGATTTTAATACACTCAAGCTTGTCAAAGTAAGCAGTGTACTCCAGAGGTAAGGTGTTTCTTTCTTTTTTGAGACAGGGTCTCACTCTGTCACCCAGGCTGGAGTACAGTGGCGTGATCACTGCTCACTGCAACCTCAACCTCCCAGGCTCAAGGGATTCCCCGTACCTCAGCCTCCCGAGTAACTGGGACTACAGGTGCATGCCATCATGCCTGGGTAATTTTTGTATTTGTTGTAGAGATGGGGTCTCCACTAAGGCTGGTCTCAAACTGCTAGGCTCAAGTGGTTCTTTTGCCTCAATCTGCCAGAGTGCTGAGATTACAGCTTTGAATCATTGTGCCTGGTTTTTTGTTTGTTTTGTTTTAAGAGGTGGGGTTTCACAGTTGCCTAGTCTAGAGTACAGTGGCACAATCATAGCTCACTGCAGCCTCAAACTTCTGTGCTCAAGCAGTCGCCCCACCTCAGCCTCCTCAGGAGCTAGAACTACAAGCCTGCACTACCATCTTAACTAATTTTTTAACTTTTTGTAGAGATGGGGTTTCATCACGTTGCCTAGGCTGATTTCAATCACCTGGCTTCAAGCAATTCTTTGCCTTGGTATCCTACAGTGTTGGAATTACAGACCTGAGCCTCTATGCCTGGATGTGAAACTCTTAAGAAATAAAAAACCATGAGACATAAAGAATAAATGAAAGGGGGTTATGTTTCAAACACAGCAGTAAGGATGGAGCTGAGGGAGAGGGTCAGCTTAAATGGGAAGAGACAAGAGTAAGAGGCTTGAAAAGAGCAGATGTGTAATGCTACATGTGCTGACGACAGCAGTCAAACCCAGTGCTTGTCAATTACTGTGAGCAAGGCAGGCACTACACCCTTGACATTTATTTTGTCACCTAGTTTCACAGTAATCTTATGAAAAAGAGGCCGTTACTGTCTGCAGCTCATGAGAGGAAGCTGAGGAACGGGTTAAATAGCTGAAAATCAAGCCACACTCTGTTTTGAAGGCAGAATTTTAATTCCTGTCATAGCCTGAAACTTAAAACTTGTTCTCTTTATACTATGTTACAAGGTTTGATTTTGTTTTTAACCTCTGTATTTTAAAATAAGCTACTTCTTATTTCAGCCCCTCAGGATTAATGGTGTTAAGGTATATACTGAAAATGTAGACAAGAGACAAATTATTTTGGACCTTCAGATCAGGTAAGTTTTTATTTGTTATATTTGTGTCATGGTTAATGGCGTGTAATGTCACTTAGTTGTACCTGTAAGGTGGAGGATACAGTGAGCACACTTCATACCTGCTGTGGTTGGAATTCGACTAAATTCTTGTTAGACATCCAAATATTATTTACCTTCTGGGTCCAGTGTCTAGTAGCCTGGATAATTGCCATTCATAAAATGTGTTACATAAAAAGTTAAAGACACCACAAGGAAAGAAAACTGTGGACCAATATCTTTTATGAACATTGATACAAAAATCCTTAACAAAATACTAGCAAACTAAATTTAGCAGCATATTAAAAGTATTTTTCTCAGCTCACCATGCCAAAAAATAATTTTTTAAAAAAAGGATTTTACACCATGACCAAATGGGATTTATTCCCAGAATGTAAAGATGATTCAGCATACAAAAATTAGTTGATGTAATACACCACATTAACAGGAAGGAAAAAACCAAATCACGTGATTATCTCAGTGGATGCAGAAAAAGCATTTAACAAAATTCAGTACTCTTTCATGATAAAAACATGAACTAGTAATAGAAGGAATAGGAATGAACTAGGAATAGAAGGAAATTTATCCCAACATAATAAAAACCATATAAGAAAAACCCACGGTTAATATTATACTCAGTGGTCAAAAACTGAAAGCTTTTTCTTTAAAACCAGGACGCTGCAAGGACGCCCTCTTTCACTACTTCTCTTCAACACAATATTGGGAGTTCTAGTTGGAGCAGTTAGGCAAGAAACAAAGCACATCCAGGTTGGAAAGGAAGAAAGACATGTTTGTGTGTGTGTGCGTGCGCGCGCGTGTTTGTTTTTGGATTTTGGTTTGTTTTCTTTGAGACAGGGTCTTGGCTTATCATTCAGGCTGGAGTGGAGTGGTGAAGTCTTGGCTCACTGTAGCTTCGACCTCCTGGGATCAAGCGATCTTCCCACCTCAGCCTCCTGAGTAACTGGGACTACAGGTGCATGCCACCATGTGTGGCTAATTTTTGTATTTTGTGTAGAGATGGCGCTTCGCTATGTTTACCAGGCTGGTCCGAACTCCTGGACTCGAGCTATCCACCCACCTTGGCCTCCCAAAGTTCTGGCATCACAGCCATAAGCAACTGCACCCAGTGGGAGGACTTAATCTTCCTGTTTACAGATGAGATGATCTCATATGTAGAAAACCCTAAAGATTACACCAAAAAGGCCGGGCGCGGTGGCTCAAGCCTGTAATCCCAGCACTTTGGGAGGCCGAGGCGGGTGGATCACGAGGTCAAGAGATTGAGACCATCCTGGTCAACATGGTGAAACCCCGTCTCTACTAAAAATACAAAAAATTAGCTGGGCATGGTGGCGTGTGCCTGTAGTCCCAGCTGCTCAGGAGGCTGAGGCAGGAGAATTGCCTGAACCCAGTAGGCGGAGGTTGCGGTGAGCCGAGATCGCGCCATTGCACTCCAGCCTGGGTAACATGAGTGAAACTCTGTCTCAAAAAAAAAAAAAAAAAAAGTAGTTTCCCATAGATAGAAGTATTGCACACTGCACCTTCACTGCACATGGCCCACCTTCAAACCTCGGTGACCTAATGGGGGTGGGCCCCTTACTGCACACGGCCCTTGTCTTCATGGGAATGGGCCCCTTGCTGTGCACTGTCCACCTCCTGGCGTAGGTGACCTAATGGGGTGTTGGTAAGGTGGAGAAATAGGAGTCCTTGTGCGCTGTTGGTAGAAATGTGAATTGGTACTGCTGCTATGGAAACAGTTTGGCAGTTCCTCAAAGCCTTAAACAAAATTACCACGTGATCCAGAAATTCCACTTCTGTTGTACATACCTGAAAGAATTGAGAGCAGGAATTGAGCAAATATTTGCACACCCACATTCTTAGCAGCATTATTTACAGTAGCTAAAAGGCGGAAGCAGCCCAAGTGTCCGTGGGCCGATGAGTGGATAAGCAAAATGTGGCCTACGTGATCTAGCCTTAAAAACAAGGGCCTCCTGCTCCAGGCTGCCACATGCTGGACTGTGAGGACCTTATGCTGGAGGAAACAAGCTAGACACAAAGGGGCAGCATCTGCATAATTCCACTTGTGTGAGGTTCCCGGAGGAGTCAGACTCATAGACACAGAAGCAGAATGCTGGTTGCCAAGGCCTGGGGGCAGAAGGAATGGGCAGTTAGTGTTTAATGGGGGAAGAGTCTTCATTTTGCAAGATGAAGAATGTTCTGGGGATGGATGGTGGTGATGGTTGCATATTATGGATGTATTTGTTACCACTGAGTTGTACACTTAAAAATGTTAATGAGGGTAGATTTTCTGTGTGTTTAATTAAATTTATTTATTTATTTATGTTATTTATTTGAAACGAAGTCTTGCTGTATCACCCAGGCTGGAGTGCAGTGGCGCAATCTTGGCTCACCGTAACCTCCGCCTCTTGGATTCAAGCAATTATCCTGCCTCCCGAGTAGCTGGCATTACAGGCACATGCCACCACACCTGGCTAATTTTTATATTTTTAGTAGAGACAAGGTTTCCCCCTTGTTGGCCAGGTTGATATTGAACTCCTGACCTAAAGTGATTTGCCTGCCTCAGCCTCCCAAATTGCCAAGATTACAGGCCTGAACCACCGTGCCCAGCTAATTTTTGGTGTATTTTAATACAGTATTTTACATCGGGAAAAAAAAATTGAAGATCTGCCAACTACCATGCCTAGCATAATAAAAATAGGCTTCCTTTGCTCCCCCTCCAACTAACCCCAATAGGGTCTCACTCTGTTGCCCAGGCTGGAGGGCGGTGATGCAGCTGTGCTCAAAAGTGAGCTTTCCTTGTCTTTTGCCCTTGTCCTTCCTTGAGCTTGCTCAGGGCTTCCTGCTCCATGTGGAGCCTCACAACACACTGTGTGTGTGCAGTGAGTGCTGTGCACTCTGACCAACCATGTGGTATCTAGCAGCTCAGAGTCGTATGCTTTTTTAGATCCTTGACTAAGGATCATTTTGTTAAAATGATCATCTTTGAGTTTCCCAAGTGTGTAAATATAGTGAATGCACAGAGTTGGTACCAGGTTGCCTTTATTTCAGAAAGAAGCATAGACTTGCTTCAATCTAATATGAAAAAAATCTGAATCTTTAAAATAGTTGTTGCTAGGGCAAACACCATTTGGTCATCAGTGGAATAAAAGAAGAGTCCCATGTATGTCTCAGGTCAGGTTATGATCCAGGAGGGACTGTCCACTGGGCTGATACTGGGCTTCAGGAGGGTGGAAGCTGTCTGGTATCCTCAGCGCCAAGCAAGTTCATCAATCAGTGGGCACCATTCTGAAGTTGAAGTCTGGTTTCATGGTTAGCTGCCATAACTTATGCAAAGTGTCCTGCTCAGATTTGTGTGTCTGAACAAATAGGCATTCTACTTTGTTGTGAGTTCTAGACAAGCACTTTAACTAAATTGGTACTTTAATTGGAAGGAGTAATTGAAAAGTATTAGAAAATAAAATGATCAAGGCCGGGTGCGGTGGCCCATGTCTGTTAATCCTAGCAGTTTGGGAAGCCAAGGTGATTGGACCCCTTGAGGTCAGGATTTTGAGACCAGCCTTACCAACATCAACTAAAAATACAAAAATTAGCTGGGCATGGTGGCGCACACCTGTAATCCCCACTACTCGGGAGGCTGACGTGGGAGAGTTGCTTGAACCTGGATGGCGACCGTTGCAGTGAGTCATCGCACCACTGCACTCCAGCCTGGGCCACAGAGCGAGACTCCGTCTCAAAGAGAAGAAAATGATCAAGTCATAGGATGAAGAAAAGGAAAGTTTTTAAAATAGTTTCGTAACAGGTTATTGGTGATTTTACCAACTAGGTAGAGAGCAATTCTCAGTGAGAAGAATCTGTAGGCATTGGCTTTAACACCAGGACAATAAATATTGGAAGAAACTTATCCCGGATTCCTTTTGTTATGATTTTGCTTATCTGCACAGACCTTCCCTTTCTAGGATTTACCAAACTTGCCCACAAACGTTGTCAGGTAGGAGTGTGACGTCCTACCTCCACGAGCCAAGGGTGGGGATCAGCGCCTACTCTAACCGATGCAAAAAGTATTTGACATTTCATGTTGATATTAAAAATGGATGCAAATCTTGCCTTTAGCGTTATGTTTGTTTCATATTAATATTTGAAATGACTTAATCATTGAATAAAATTGAGGCCCCAAACAGATGCACTGTTTCTAATCTTTGATGTTACAGAGGGCTGGGGCACTGTGAGATTTTTCATGTTTGGGAAGCAAAGTCTGAAAGTTACTTGTGTTAAAATAAAATTAAACTTTTTAATGTTTTAAACGTCAGATTTCTAAGGTGAGGAAAACTACATTGCACCAAAAGACCGCTTCAGAAGTTGCACTTTGTTATTTACATTTTCTTTTGAACATGGATATTTATGTTTAGTTAAGATTTTTATATATAAGACCACCACCACCAACAAACATTTATTTATTAATTGATAAAGAGTATTTCTCTCAGTGTCATAGCTGTGTTGTATCTGATGACAGCCTGCAGACCTGGACCAGTAAAATTCTATGATGTGATAGGCCACATTTTATGGTTTTTACCTATGATCTGATTTTGGTTGCTTTACTATCATTATATTCAGAGTACATATCTTGCAGGTCTATATTGATTAAGAAAATAGTTCATTTCGGCCGGGCGCGGTGGCCCAAACCTGTAATCCCAGCACTTTGGGAGGCCGAGGCGGGTGGATCACGAGGTCAAGAGATCGAGACCATCCTGGTCAACATGGTGAAACCCCGTCTCTACTAAAAATACAAAACATTAGCTGGGCATGGTGGTGCGTGCCTGTAATCCCAGCTACTCAGGAGGCTGAGGCAGGAGAATTGCCTGAACCCAGGAGGCGGAGGTTGCGGTGAGCCGAGATCGCATCATTGCACTCCAGCCTGGGTAACATGAGTGAAACTCCGTCTCAAAAAAAAAAAAGAAAATAGTTCATTTCACTCACATTATGTAATGCAGAATTTTTTCTTTGTTAGTTTTGTAGGAAATTGTGAGATTGATTTGGAGATCAAACGCTATTTTTGTAGAGCTGGTGTGAAAAGCATTCAGGTAAGTTTTTTAAAAAGTTGGTAGTTTTCTAAAGTTCTTTAAGCTGTATTTAAAAAGAAAAGAAGTTTTTTTAGTTTGGAATTTTTCTGAAGTTCAGTTTTTAACTGTAGGTCATAGTTGAGAGAAATAAGCCACATGCTCAGAAGTTACTAAGATGCACATGCAAACTCCTTGAGTTAAGTGGCCCTGCAGAATTGTTTTCTATGACCTGTTTTGGTTTCCTGTTTTAGATTCACGGTACCATGCGGGTGATTCTGGAACCGTTGATTGGAGATATGCCTTTAGTGGGAGCTTTGTCTATCTTCTTCCTTAGGAAACCAGTAAGTCCATGTTTATTTCATTTTTTTCCCCATTCGGGACAGAAATACATACCCATGGAAGAATATATAAGCGGAGAAACAAAATTTTATCAACTCATTGTACCTTTCTGTTTCATGAATCTTGTGGAGTTTCGGTATCTGTGCCTTAACTGAAAGCTTACCTCTTGATAAGCAGCTCTCTTTTCTGATTATAAAAATGTTACAAAAATTTGAAAACAGACTTCTTCAGAAGTGTAGGTCTTAGCTCACATTTTATTTAGCACCTCACTTAATATGATTTATAGATATTTTCTCATTTAATCCTAACTGTACTAATATTAATGTTGTTTCCTTTTATTGTTCAGAAACTGAGATTTTTTTCCCTTATTTTTCCAAATCATACAACTAGCAAGAGCCTGTGTACAGATCCAATTTAGTCTGTTACAGAGCTCATGAACACTGTTGAGAAGACTCACCTATAAACCTCCCTCTTTCCCCTCCAGAGATAAGTGCTGCCATCGTTTGGATGCACCTCCTTCCTCATTTGGGGTGTGTTTAATGAACTATACATACAGTTTTATATACAGGTTGAATATTTCTTATCAGAGATGCTTGGGACCATATGTGTTTCAGTTTTTATACTATTTGCATTAGACTCCAGTGAGTATTTCCTTTGAGCATGATGCTAGTACTCAAAAGTTTCTGATACTGAAGCATTTTGGATTTTTAGATTAACCTGTACTCTGTGTGTGTGTGTGTGTGTGTGTGTGTGTGTGTGTGTGTGTGTGTGT